ATAAAAAATTTGGTAGCAATATTTATATATATAAAAAAAAGATTTCAACCAATTGGTAACAACTTTTCTTTTTTAAAAAAAATTTCCACCAAAATGGGTACCAATTTTTTAAAAAAAGAACAAATTTTTTTTAGCATTTGAATATCGAGTAGTTTGTAGAAATTTCAGGAAAAAAAAGGTTTTTTCCCACCAAAATCGCTGCCACTATTTTGTCCTTTTAAAAAAGAAATTTTCAACAAAATTGCTGCCAAGCAGCGTTTTTCCAGAAAAAGAAATTCAAAAAATTCAATAAAATTATAAGAACACTGCAATAACAGAAAAATACGTAAATGTTTTTGATTTTTTTTTTTGACAAAATCGCTGCTAGAACAGCGATTTTAATCTGTTAACGATGTTAAATAAAATCGCTACTTAATTAACGATTTTATTTTTTTGATTAAAAAAAAATTTGATGTATCTTTTGAAACTTTAATCAATATTTTTTGCTTAGACTCACGACTATGTTAAAATATATTAAGAACTTGAATTAGCTTGGAGACTATGTTTTAAAATTTTAACTTTTTTAAAACGATAAATAAGAAATCAAAAACTTAATTAGAAATTCAACTAAAGATACGATCGTAATAAATCATAAAACTTATTTTTCAAACCCAAAATAACTAAACATTAGTGAAGGTAAAGTTGGATGCATATCACCCGCAATAACCTTTAATTAATTTACTAAAGTAAATTAACAGCTTAACATTAAAGATGAAGTTGACTAAATATAACCCGCATTAACATTTAGTTATTTTTTAAATTATCATTCTTATCGAAATTCAGTGAAGGTGAAGTTAGTGATGGAGCTAAATTTTTTATTCTTCAAATAACAATCATTATTATTGCGTTACAAATATAATTTTTGTCAAAGGTGTCCAATTTTAAATATATAATTCTAAAATTTGACATATATATACAATATAATTTTTTGACGAAGGGTGTCTATCAGTAATTGCGCCTGGTGTGAAGATGGATAGACCCATTGCATTAATTTCTTTATGAAATTTAAATTAGAAAAATTTCACAATCCGTATTAAATAAAGAGTAACTTTCATATATAGTAAACACAAAATGCAAATTTATATGCTATAACAAATTTTGCATAATTGCGCTCCATAATAAACATATATACGTATAATTTGCTATATAATATAACTGAAAGCTATGCCTATTTCGGTATACATATATACAAAAAAGCAATTGTATGATTCATTGGTTCCTCTTCAGATTTGTATCATTTCGCTGACAGACCATTTGTATAAATTGTTGTTAGCAACTCATTTTTATAAATCGTTGTTAGCATCTCAATTCATTGTATATGTTTGTAATTTGAATTTATATATAATTGAATCAAATTGCATAAAATGAGAAAGACATTAATTATATCCAATATGCATTTGTATAAAACGAAAAAAAAGAGAAAGACAAAAGAGACTTGGATAGGAAAATATTTGTATTGTATAATAATAAGTGTATAGAACGGAAATATATGTATTTGAATGTGTATATGCAATTTTCTTTTGCTTTATAAAAAGAGAAACACAATTTATACAATTTTATTGTATAAAGTGAGAGAGGCGAGCGGCATAAAGCGATCAAGAGAGGAAAATGCGAGAGAAAACAAAAAAGACAAGCTTAAATACCCTTTCTGGAGTCTTAATTTGAGCAGATGGATATCCTACTTTAATTATGAAACACAAATAAATTAAATAATAGCTACTGTATTTCGTAAATAAGTTATTCAAATTCTACCTGTTATCTACTCAATCTTAAACCATCATCAAACTAAATCATTAATTTATAATCCAGCACTAATTCATAGCCCATAAATTATAAATAAAAAAGAAAGTTCCCACCAAATTCGACCCGTAAAGAGCTTTTTTGGTGTGAAAAACTGTTGTGGCAACCATTGAATCGCCACATAACCATTTATGGTGACTAGGTCGCCACCATTTCTTGTCTTTTTGCCTTTAGAAAGAGGAGAGTGATATAAAGCCCCAATTTGCCTTAAACTTGTCGTCGTTCACCATCCACTATCAGATTTCGAAGGTTGCTTCCAATTTTCTGGACATACTTTAAGCGTGAAGAAGTGTAAAAAGGTAGATTTTCATTCATCTTGTTTTGTCTCAATAGGAAAATGTAAAATTTTATTTTGAATTGGGATTGTTGAGCAAAAATAATCCTGTGAGTTCTGAGATTTTTAGTGTCAAGATTTGTTGATTGCTGGTTGCTTCCAAACCCTAACCCTCATTGATCAATAAATTTCAATCGCTACTGATTCTTGCATGTTTTTTTTTTTTTTGCAAGCACCCTTTTCGTTGTCACCGATTCCAGAATATTGCTTTAGAATTGTTTGAACCTTAAACATGAGGGAAGGCGGTATCAGTTGCGATTACTACTTACTATTGTTTGAGCAAAATGTTCTTGTTTGAATATTTACTTAATAAGAATTATTATGTATGTTTGATATCAGTACTTTTAGCTAACTCTCTCACCCCCACACTTTGTTACATTTCTAGTTGAAAGAAAAAAGTGATCTTTTAGCTTAACACCGGAAATATTTTAAACTGATGAAGTAAAAAAAGCAAAAAGGGAGTTTTGGGATTTTCTAAATGATTGAAGGATGGTATAGTGAACTCTACCCCTTAAATCAAATTGGGATGAGTTCTGTTTACCGACAATATGAAGGGGAGAATGCTACTCTATGATCGGTAGGCACAAGTCAATAATCAAATGACTGCAATTCAAACATTTATGTCATGGATAATCTCACTGATCTTCTATCCCCAATGAAAAGTTACTTGTTGCCTTGTGAATAATGTTGAAACATAATTTTGATTTTTGAAAATTGTCTTCATCTCAAGTGTTTAATGTCCCATCCAACTGGCTACCTTCTGCTTTTTTGACTTTTGAGTAAGGAATCACATTCAAGCTGGTAATGAACTTGAATCTGAAAGCACCACTCTTGAACAGTTATTTTTTCAAAAGGACTAATTAGTTTGTACTAGCCATAGTTTTTCAAGTTCACATCACTTACTACAACCTTGCTGTTGTGCTTGAAAACCTTAGTGATCTCTCCAATCTTATCTTTGTCTGGATGTAACTTTTACTGTATCTCCCACATTCACATGCATTTTGTATTGCACAGAAGGGTGTTTGACTTACACTTATTCCACACCATTGCTTATGAAGCAGATAAAATGAAAATGAAGAGTAATGCATTTTGGTAAAAATGTTCAATTTTGATCAAGTTTCTAATAAATTCAAGGAATTAAATTGTTCAGAATCAAATGAAATGAACTTACTAGACTTGTCATGGAATATGGTATTTTAAATACAAGGATACTATATTTTCCCTGATGTAGTAGTTTCCTATTAAGTTTAGCATATTTTAGTCCGCAGATCACCAGGAGATAACATTTGCTGGCAATTGTTCCTGAACTGCTATTGAGTTAGTCTATGCACCTTTTGGTAAATCTTCTATCCGAGTCATAGAAGTTCATTACCTGACAGCACTAGAAAACCCAGAAATGGCTCTAAGAAACCAACCTTGGCTACGAAGCAACCTGGCTTTTGTTCACTTGCAAATGATAAACAATAGTCTTGCTGTAGTTGGACTGCGCGTGATAAGATAAGTCATATGAAGGAGGATTATAACAGAGCACTAGTAAATATTTGCAATAAGGGGCATTAACCTAATAACAGCAAGTCATATTCTAAATAAGATTTTCAGAAATTGATGTTATGTCATTTTGTGTACTCTTTTGAATAACGTGTCTCGATCGACTGTCTCTTTTACAAAGACGTTGGAAATTTTATTAATGGTCAGCCAAATAATTGACACATGGGCCTGAGTGAAATATCTTTCTCAGACTCTCCAAAATTTTGATGAACCTTTATTAGGTCCTTTGATAATGCACCAATATTGGAGGATCCGACATGCATTGTTGAAGAGTCTGAGCAACATATCAGTGAAAGTTTTCCTCATCTCTTGGGAGGACTTGGCCCATGTGCATACACTTATCTGTTCTCAATAGCCAGAAATATATTGGGTCAATGAATTTTCTGATGGACTCAACTTGTTTGTCAATGTTTTTACCTTACTGTTCCTGCTTTCTGGTAATTGGGTTCTTAGTATAGGGCACATCAAGCTTCTTTTGAATACTCATTTCATTATTTTTACCTTTTTAAGCTTTCAATACTATATACTCCCCCTGTTCGCTTTTACTTGTTACATTCGGACTTGACACATTCATTAAGAAAAAACAATTGACATGACTATTTTATCACACTACCCTTATTAATTGATGTTTAGCATTAGGTCTTGAAAATAATTTGGTGAGTAAGTAAGTAATGCTAAGGGTAAAACATGGAAAAATATAAGTCTTTTCTTGATATGTTAAAAGTTACGACTAAAAGTGAAAATCTATTTTTGAATAATGGACAAGTAAAAAGTGAACATAGGGAGTAAATATTTTGAATCTTTATATACTGTTTGTGTGATGTTACAGGAATGGCAAGATTTGCACGAGGTAGAGGTAGAGGTCGGCGAGGTGGAAGGGGCCGTGGGCGTGGTAGTGTTGAAGGAGTACGTGATAATTTTGCAGTGGTGTCATCCGTAAATATTAACCCATCACATAGACCTACACTTGATCAATCATCTCAGCCACAAGCACAAACAATAGGGATTCCCGAAGCAATTCAGTGTACTTCTCCAGGCTTTCAGACCCCTGGAACAAGTCAAAAACAATTGTCGGGGTCACAATTATCAAGGAATATGGAAGGAAGTGTACATCCCTCTTCAGTGAATTTAAATAGTGGTGAAGGTTAGTTTTCTCGCATTTGACTTATAAGTGGTCTGTTTCCCTCTTCTCTGTTGTACTTTGGAAAATTATTATGCAATTTTTACTGGCATTGTTCATTTTGTTTTTTCAATAACATTTTAGTATTCTGTTGTTGCTCTTTCAATGCCTTTGGTCAATTTCGTAGAGTCTATTATGTACTATATTGTTGTACAGTTATGTTTTGATAAGATGATTCTGTCATGAGAATCTTCATGGATGTATAACATACTGATTTTTTTTTTTGATAACTGAGCAATCCACTGGGTCACGGTTCAAAACTCGGTGAGTAGTGGCTCTGACCCTTCTCCATTTAAACATGGTAATTTACAAAGATTATTACCCCTCTAACTCAGTTGTGCAGCCAGAAATTTATGAAGGGTGTCCAAACTTTAGATAGTAAATATTTTAAAAGAATTAATTCTATAGGGATTAGATCTTGCTTGCATACTTCTGCACCCAATTGGCACTGAGCTACTGCTCACTTCACATGAAAGTTGCAAGGAATCGAACCTGGGAGCCGCCGTGTAAGTTTCGTGCATAACCTTGCCACTGTGCTTTGGGTCTCCATTGGTTCCGAGGGTGTTCAAAATACTATATATATCAATATAAAGTATGACTTGACCCATATATATTGTAGTTTTCCAACGAAGTGTGTCCAGCTGGACACCTTGACACCACCGTAGCTCCGCTCCTGCTCTAACCTTCTTTACTTGTGCTCTGCCTACGTAAGTGTCCCATAGACTTCAGATGACTTCAGATCTAGCTTCTGATGTGTGAGTTTTCTTCATCGTCCATCATCTTGCATAGCCTTTGTAATTGACATGGCTGACTTTTGTTCCATTATGAGACAACATTTGAATATCTATAATGACAATGCAATACCCACCTATATAGATGCAATGAAATCTGGGTAGGATGGGTGAGGCTTTGACCAGATAACATTGGGATTGTGCCAAATTACTACATCCAATATTTATTTTTCAGAGATATTGACTATGCTGCTGGGAAATATCGCTGACCTAGCTACCAAAGCTTGTGTGGAGTAGTATTGGAAGTTACACAAAGATTGATATGTAGGTATCAGTTGGGTAGTAACAGAAGCCTAGCTAATTAAACAACTGAAGGACCTCCTCGAATTATTGCAGAAGTTAAGGTCTCTTAATCATTGCTAAATAGCCATCTGGTAAGATTTGTTCCTATGAAAAATAGAAGAGAATTTTTTATTGAATTGGTGTATCTACAGTATGATACAGAGCCCTATTTTTAGACACTACATTACAATCCTTATTTAAGGATTCTATTTACTAATCCTATTCTTATTCTAACACTCCCCCTCAAGCTTATGCATACAAGTCATATGTACCAAGCTTGTTACTGATGTAACTAATATGAGGACCGGTGAGAGACTTGGTGAAGATATCTCCAAGCTGATCACTCAGGCAGCTGCTTAGGTCACTGGAAAACTGCACAGTGATGGCTGTTTTCACTGGAATGATGCACAATGGTATCTTTCTTAATATAAGAGAAAAATATTATTGAATTGTGTGTCTACATTACTATACTAAGCGCTATTTGTAGACACTACATTGCAATCTTTATTCAAGTAGGATTGTATATACCATGTCTATTTCAACAGTTCCTTCTCCGGTTGTCCATCTATATCTTTAAACTTGACATTTATATAGTGACAAAGAAGTGAGCAATATTTTTGCGGAAATTTGTGCTTCTTGATGCTGTTATCTACTCATGTGGTGTGCTGGCATAACACTTAATTTCTTGTAACAATCAAGTTTCTTCTTGGTATTTACTGTCGACAGGATGAGCTATACATCATATCTATAGCAGGGACAGTTATGAAAAGAGGAAATATATATTTGAGTCATCATTTTGTTGAAATTGTTGATACATTACTGTTAAACTAAAGGATATCTGGATATATCACTATACCTTACATGAGAACCGCCATATCTTGAAAATATAGCTTCAGATCCTCCTATATTTCTTTCCGGCCATAACTCTGTTGGATTGCTCAGGAACTGTTATGAAAGGTGTTGCTAATATGTTTTTCCCTTTTCAGCTGGTAGCCCTATTATCCTATTAGCTTATGACCAGTGTGCGTCTGAAATGATTCAAGCAAAAATAAGTATCATTTAGTTTAGCTTAGACATAAAGAAGTTCAATTTTTAATTTTACGGCTGGTTTCCATCTCTCTTTTGTATTCTGTATTGTATCTCTTGCTGTTAAGTTTTCTAATTGTCCTATATTTCTCGCTTCACAGTTTCTTGCAGCAAATCTAAGAAAGGCAGGGGGAAATATCGATCCATAAACGTGGAAATGAAAACCAAATATGGTAGCAAAATCACAGTTCATATTCCGGATGACATTGATAGAGCTGTAGGTCCTGGGGCTAGAGATATTGTCAATTATTGTGGCTTAACCATGAGGAGCACTATCTCGTTTAGAGATGGTGATTGGGCTACAATTTTTGCAAAAGATGGAGAAAAAATGTGGCTGAAAGTGAAGGTAATACATTATTGTAAATATTTGACATTTAGATGTCTTGCATTATTTATGTTGCTAGGAATTAGGATAACATTATAAATTTCTCAGTGTTAGTTTATTAATAAAATCATTTTACCTTCTCAAGAAATAAATAAATTACTACCTCCATTTCAATTTATGTGATGGTATTTGACTGGACCTGAAGTTTAAGAATGAAATATTTTTTTTTGAACTTGTTGTTTAAAGCAAGCCATAAGTATTTTATGTCTCTAAATCATCTCATCAAGGGTAGAATGAGAAGTTTAATGTTAAATTATTACTATATGGAAAACTAACTTTTTGGGACTAATAAAAAATGAAATAATGTCACATGAATTGGTACAGAGGGAGTATAACTTTACATACATGTTTTCAGGAGAAATTTGAAGTAGGTGGTGGTAGGGGAGAGAATGTGTTGCAGGGTTTTGTGGCCAGCACTATGAAAAGGCTTTTTAGAACGTGGAAGACTCGGTTGCATGCTGAATACTTGCGTTATAATACTGATGAGGAGAGACTGTCCCATCCGCCAAAAGATGTTGTGCCTGAGGATTGGGAATTTCTTATACAATATTTTGGAAGCCAGTCATTCAAGGTAACTTGATTCGAGGATGTTTGATAAATTAAATCATTTGAATATGTCTTAATCTGTTTGACTTTAATGCAGGCTAAAAGCGAGAGAAATAAAATAAACAGGAAAAAGCAAACAACAAAGCATTTATGTGGTTCAAAGTCTTTTGCAGAAGTAGAGGAATCACTGGTGGAAATGCATTTATTCCAACCTTCATATACTTCCATTATTTTTTTTTGAGACAGATGTACTTCCGTTATTTATTTATGTCATTTTATATGCTCACATTTGTTTTTCTGATATGAAATATATATTGTAGAGAGATCCTCTTACCGGAGAAAAGGCACCACCAGATCGTGTCTGGGAGCTCCAACATACGCGTAAGAATGATAAAGGAGAACTGTTGTGGTCAGATCAACAATCACAACAAATTCACGTAATTTTTCATAATCAGTAGTTCTTTTTTAAAATATATTTATTTGGAAAAGGATCACAAAAATGTCCTTAAACTATGCAAGGTTGAACAGAAACATCCTCATTTAATAGTTTGGTCCAAAAATGCTTTTGTTGTTACTTTTGTGTCAAGAAAACCCTTTTCCTAAGATACATGTTGTTTCTTTTCTTTTAAATGACATTTTGACCGAAAGTAACAATAGGACATTTTTGGATCAACGTATTGACGTTAGAGGCATTCTTGGACTAACCTGTCAGTGGATGACATTTTTGTTCAATTTTGCATAATTTAAGGACATTCCTGACCTTCTTTCAATTTCTTTTTGGTAACAACTGTGAAATATTTTTACCAGCACTCATCAACATAACTACAAAATATAGAGCACCCAACTCCTGGACCACCTTCAGACTGGTGCCAGGAAATCAAGCCTCAAGCTAAGGCAAAAAATAGCTAACTATTCAGTCTATACATGAAATCTCTACAATTATGTGCTCTCTTTGATGCACTAAACAACTCTAATCTAATTTTCATGTCTGTCTTAATCCGTGTTACCACTTCAGCCTGCTGTACATAGATTCCTCTAAATTGTTTCCAATTCCTAGCTATCCTAGCATTGTAGTACATGGCCCCCCATATTGCTGCCAGTACCTGCTTCTTGAACCCATTGCACCTCTTTCTTTTTATTGTTAGTAATACTCGTCTCATCTCCCCTGCAATCAGCGTAATCCCTATCCATGTTTCTAGTCCTTGTTCCACATCCTTTATCCATCCACACTCTTAGAACAAGTGTTTGTTTGTTTCCTAAGCCTATTTGTCACATAAACAACTATACATATTATCTACTGGTATATTCAGTCTTTGCATTCTCTCCTTTGAAAGGAGTCTGTCCTGCACAGCTAACCAAACAATAAACCTTTTTTCATATTTATTATTATATATATGTTAGTATAAATGGTTTTGCATAACTGCAGGGCCAGATCCAGGAACTTGTGGTTCAACAGCAATATGAACAAAACATGAATCCAATGACTGGAGATGAGATTTTAGCTACTGTACTTGGCGAGAGAACATGCTATGTCCGTGGAAAAGGTTATGGAAAGACGCCTCTAAAAAAGAGCCGCATGCGACATGGGTACTTGGGATCTAGCCTGTTTTCTGCAATAGAAGGTGTGCGCCAAGAGATGCAAGCTGACATGGATCGTAAGTTGCAAGAGGAACGTGAACAAATGCGAGCTGAAATGGAGAAAATGTTTCAAGCACAGATGGAAGAGGAGCGCAGACAAATGCGACTAGAAATAGACAAAAGGATCCAAGATCAGATGGTGGCTAATTTAATGGTTGGAATGCAACAGGTATTCTTCCTTCTTTGCTGTGCTGCTTGATCTCTTTAATTTTGTGGGATTGAGACATTGAGTTTCATCACTGTGATTTATTGACCTCCAACGCCTTTTTTAATTCACATTCTTCTCTTCATGGCATTGCTGTGCACATAAGTAACTGTTACTTATTAATTGCGAACTGATGGTGTGAAGACAATATTACAAAAGGGTAGCATCTGCATCCAATTGGCGACTTACTCATCCTATGCTGCCTTGAAAAAAACATATAAGAGACCTGTATTTATGTTAATCTATGGACTGCATCTCTACCTTACCAAATATAGGGCTAATGCCGTGTACACACTGCCCTCTCTAGACCTTGTAGGATTACATTGGATATGTTGTTGTGGATTGCCATCTGTCGTGAAAAAGATCCGATTGTTTTTATGGGTTGTAAGGTATGGTTAGTAATGGAATACACACATTCATGACTCATGGTTTGGGGACACCATTCTTGGTCTTTGCCCATGTTGCCATTATGTGAAATATAATAACTAATGGGAACTCTTCTCTTAGAAACACCATTAATCTTGGTGTATCCCAGGTTGCCAGTATTGTTCTGGGTTGAAACTATTGGTTTGGAAACACCATTCATCTTGGAGTATCTCCGGTTGCCGGTATTGTTCTAGGTTGAATTTTCTAATCTTACGGTGAGTAGTTGCTAAATTTAGTTTGCTATATGATCAGTGATGCAATACTACTACACTTGTTATAACTGTATATTGTTTTATATGTTGACTGATTAGCCCTTTGTTTGTTTCTTTTCTATATTGCTTAAGGAAAACAAATTGATGATAACATCAATGCAAGCTTAGCTAAAGATATGACACAGTAAAGGAAAAAGATCCACATAGGTGTTATCTGTTAGCTGGGAATAGAACTTAAGCCTCATTTGTTTGCATTTTATGGAGTTCAGACCTTCAAATGCGTTTGTTTATATTAAGATTTAAGCACTTATTTGGTCTGAATAGGGGTCTCAATCACCAAGATTTTGAATTAAGTTTTTATATCATTACAATGTGTTTTTTGTGGATAACTTTCACCATTACTTTGTCTACTAGCATCCGCTACCACCATTACCAACCCTGCCATTAAAACCACCAAGATGTCGCCAATCACCAACTACCTCTTCCATCACAACCATCACTGTAACCACCACCGCTGCCACCAACTATTGTAAGCTACTACCATACCTAACAATTCCATCATTAAATTAATCCACTGTCATCATCACTGCCACTGGTAATTTTCGTCGTCGCCACTATCAATAACTACCACCGCTGTGAGCAATCTCTATTACCAACTACATCCACCATCACAACTAGCACCATCACCAATTACCACCAGCACTATTGGCAACAACCACACATTCTTAAGACAACACCACCACCGCCAACTTCTAACATCATAGAGCCACCTTTGCCATCACAAGCACCAACACCATTTCCACCAACCACCACTAGCTCTGCTATCACAACTACCACTAGCAAGCACCACTAATAACAACCACTACTTTTCGGTCTCTATTACACATACCACCTCATCATTATAATCATATCCATTTTCTTAGCCACCGCTATCAACTACTACCCTTACCGTGGTCAATTCCTACTATAAACCATCAAAATTAGAACCACTACCGACTACCACCAATACCGCCATCAACCACAATCACCAAAACTGCAAACTACTAACATCAACCAATTTCATCACCACCATCGATGTCGACTACTATTGTCAGTCACTATCACATCTACCAACTACATCATTGTAACATTCAGTCACCACCATCATCGTCACCGTTGCCTCCACTTCCGCCACTATTATGAACCACTTATCACCACTTTAGGTAATTCTACTACCAACCACCTCCACAATCACAACTAGCATCGGTGCCAGCTACCACTAACACACCATCACTCAATTTTCAGCCGCCACCACTGCCACTGCCACCGCCATTGTTAACTACTAACATCAACAAGTTCTATCATCACAACCACCACCACCACTAGAACACCAATCCCATCCACCATCACAACTATTACCACCATTATTACTAGCCACTATCACAACCATCACTACCTGAAAAAAAAACCCATCACTACCATATGCCACTACAAACCATCTCTATCGTTACTAGCAAGCATAAATGTTTTTATCAAACAATAATTTTGTTGTATTATATATTTATTCTAATATTATATTATTTTTATATTTGAATTGTATATTTATTATGTTTACAACAAATAAGTTATGCTCATTCGTATTTTGAGTATTAATCATTGAGATCCTTTGGGGTGGCCAGTGGTTTGTGCTTGGGACTTCCATGTTGGAGGTCTCAAGTTTGAAACCTCTTGCCAGTGGAATTAAGAGGTTTGCTTTATGTGTCGAGCTTATCGCACCGGGCTTACCTAGTGTGGGTTACCTCTCCTATGTGGTTTGCGAGCTATTGCATAGGGGCGGAGGTTTTACCCTGTGCGCACCTAAAGAGTAGTGACGGGGGGTTTTCCTTGTCATCAAAATAAAAAGTATTAATCATTGAGTGTTTAGATCTAGAGACAATATCTTAATCATACACGTTTAAATTTTCTCTAAAAATTTAGATTTAAACGTCTTAATTTAATGAAAACAAATAAGCTTTAGTCTTGTTAGAGGACTTCTCTTATTATTACATTTATTTCTAATATATAACTTATTTTGCACTTTTATTTTTGTTCGGTGTCATTATGACATGAGAGAAGCTTAAATGGAATAATGAGTATTCATATAACTGACTCTAACTTGTTTAGGATTGAGAGATAGTTGAACAATGAACACAATTGTCAATTTCTCGTGGAGGGAAGAGCGTCGATTTCTTCAGGTTTACTTATTTTTATCAATTAGGATCTAACCATGATTGACTTTATTGGAATGCTGGCTACCTGGGATCATGTTGCCAGTGTACATATGCTAGGCTTCCAAATGTCGATGTTTTAGTGGAAGGCATCGATCTCTTTTGTTGCTTGTTGACATAGGATTTTAGAAGCTAAGCTGGATGATCTCTTTTGTTTCTTAACTCAAATTCCATCTCTCTTCTTTGTATCTACTGCGAACATTCAATAAGATTCACCTTATCATATGTTTTGTGAAACTCATCAGTAATTCTGTTGAACTAATTAACTAGCCATATTTGCATCAAGTTCATTGCGCTTCGGTGTCTCGCTGCTTTTATATGGTTTAGCAGTTTACTGAATTTTTAGAGTTCAAGTTTATATTTGTAATCTTTAATAACAGGGTCAAGGTTCTTCAACTGCCCGAGTTAGCAAAGGCAAAAAGCAAAAAAGCCCTGAAGTCAGTTGGGTTGTTAAGCGTAAGCGCAAGTAATCCTTCCAGGTTTAATGAACAAATTTGCAATTTATGGGAAGAGATTTTTACACTCTGATATTCAGGTTTAATATATTTATGATTTAGTCTGTTTGCCTTCCTTACCTGTGATATAACCTACTTTTGTATAATATGTAAAATTTAGAATGTCTCAGTTGAATTTTTTTAGTGCATATCTTCAAAGTCGAATTTAAAATTTTGGAGTCCTATTACTTGTTAGTTGACAAAATCATTGGAGCTCGAAAAGTGGTTGGAGTACTGTTTTGTAAGATTTGGGGCGATAAAAAACCTAGTAGAAAGGTAACCCACCATTGTTAAACAAGTTTGAAGGAACGGAATGAGTTTGAATTTCATTTTTTTTGTGAGAAATTTAGAGTCTTTAGACTCTTAGGCAGTTGCCTAAGGAGGTTGCTACAAAATTAAAAGTCATTTGAGGAAGAGGAGGACCGGTTTTATACAAAATTTGTAATAAAAAATTGCAGTAGTTCGGCTCTATAGTTAGAGATGTGTTAATACATTTTCTACAATGCTATACACATCAAAGGGTGTTATGCTGTTTATATGTGTGTAAACACTGTAGAATAATGTGTAAAAAAAAAGGGAAAATTGTAAATAATAGCAAACTAATAACCTAAAATAAATGGAGTAGCTAGAGTTTGAATTAATTGTGCTCCATAGCAAACGTTTGCAAAAAATTGTCAGGCGCCTTTCTCCCAAATATCTCGCTCGCCACTCTCCTCCAATCTCTCGCTCGCTTCCTCACTTTTTATATAAACACAAGTGTATAAAAATTGTTTCTAGTTGTATAAAACATAGAAAATTGTATAAATACATATATTTTTGTTTCCCTCTCTCCCCTCTTCTAGATCTCGCTCGCCACTCTCCCAAATCTCGCTCGCCACCCTCGCCTTTCTCTCTTATACAAACAAAAACGAAATGTATAAATTGCGTTTCTGTTTGTATAAAGCGTGAGAAAATTATATATACACATGCAAGTACATATATTTTCGTTCTATACACTTATAATTATACAATAAAAATACTCCCCTGTCTAGTTTCTTTTGCCTTTCTCTCTTTCTCGTTTTATACAATTTTCAAATTGTATCTAATTTCTCTCTTTCTCGTTTTATACAATTCGATTCAATTATATATTCCTTGTCAAGTCTCTTTTTCTTTCTCTCTTTCTCATATTATAACAAATTCAAATTGTATATAATTATTTTATACACTTATGATAATACAATTCGTTTTATACACTTCGTTTTTATACAGTTTTCTGCCCAAATGTCTTTCTCTTTCTTGTTTTATACACTTCATTTTATACATTTTGCTTCAACTGTATATGTATAGCGATTTATACATTTTTTATGTTTGCTATGGAGCGCAATTATGTAAACTTTGCTATAACATAAAAATATGAATTTTTTATTTGCTATATATGAAAGTTGCCCAAAAAAAAATTGATGAAAAAGATATGCATCTTAGACGTTTGGGTCAATTAATTAAGCAACTTGCTATAGTAAAATATGGCACAAGTTGATCAAACCAAAGTCTTAAGTCTATGTACATCTTAGACGTTTGGATCAGTTATTTTTCTTCTGAACAATATCAAATACATCCATATCCGTAACACCACAAAGTCATAAGTCAACTCGTTATCTTTAATTAAAAAAGATAAAACAAGCCAACTCATTATCCCGTAAAATTCTCCACAAATGTAAATTCCTTGAACCTCAATATTTGACTTTCATTTCACCAACTTGCCAAAATTTCTGTATTTAACATGCAATTTTTTTCATCACTAATGTGTAACTAATTAAGCAAAAAAGAAAATGAAGCATTTTAGCCACCCCCATGCTTTAGCAATCTTTGAAGTTCAAGAATCAAATGAGATAATCTGCTCAGGCTGTGAGAATAAACTTTGTGGCACTACAAATTACAAATGCACAAAATCCAATTGTGAATTCACCCTTCACAAATCATGCTTCGAGTTACCAAGAAAGATACTACATAATTCCCATCGCGATCACCCTCTCACTTTGTACCCTACTTTACCAGAACGAGACTGCATGTATTTTGGTTGCAATGCTTGTGGTGAAGAACCAAAATCATTTGTCTACGAATGCCTCGAATGCAACTTTAGTCTCCATGCTAAATGTGTAACATCTGTAGCTGAAAATATAACTCGTGAGGATCATCAACATTCCCTTATACTACAATATGAATGGCCATTTCCTATTGAAGATTGTGTGAATATCTTTTGCAAGGTTTGTGATGGACTTTGCAATGATAGCAATTGGCTTTATTATTGTACTGAGTGTAAATTAGGCACACATTTACAATGCGCAACTATTAAAAGAGAGGATGGTTCAAGCCTTGAGAATGAAGAAACTGACGAAGAGATGACTAATGAGCAAAAATTAACAATGGCTACGATCAAAGCTCAAGGACAACAAGCAAGGCTTACGTTTCAGGCTCAAATGGCATATATGAACGCCCAAACTATAACTAATATGTGGCGTAGCTCTCATCCTCCTTATTAATGTTCCATTTCTTCTTCGAAATATGAAATAAATATCTTAAATGATATCTGAATAATGAATATTCCACTGAATACTTGTTATTTTTTGTTTGTTTTTGGTTGATATCTGTTTTGTATTTCAGTCTTTATTAAACAAAATAAAAAATGATTATCTCGATTGCTTGAAGTGGAATTTTAATCATTTTTCTGAAACATATAATTTACAAGGCACTACAAATAATGCTAGCTATATACTCTAGCTATAAGTCACGTAAAAGCAATAAACAAAATTGATAATACAATGATGATCACAGAAATGAGATGTAAAAAATTAGAAATCAAGTGTTATTGTGTTAATTCATCATTGGTTAAAAGGAACTCTAATTCTTTATTGTAAGATCTTTAGAAATTAAAAGAACAGGTATAAAGTAATTAGAAACACATTTTGGCCACCTAAGTCCACAGGGTTACTGGTCTTGGATAAATTGTCTAAATATAAGTCAAATGAAAAATAATTTTTAATCATCTGACTAGATAGGCTACCCCGCAAGAAAATTAAATTTAGTATCATCTAAATTTCAAATCAGTTATCTTAAGGTGCAATCCTTCTTTTTAAAACTAAAGACTTTTTGAGGATCTGTATAATGCTCGTTCCTAAACAAGACACTCGTAAAATAACTCGAGTCTCACGTCTAAGATTTAATTACGTGAGCTCCAAATTGTGTGTCCTAAAAATAGGGCTAACGTGTGCCTAGCCTAAACATTAAGTTATAGTTTGTATACAAATATACTAATTGAAAACATGTTAAGGTGAAAATCACTAAAACATTTCTTTTGAAAATAGATAGTAGAAAATTTATGTTCACTTGCTATTGTACTTCATATTATAACTCTATATTTCAAAGTTATTAAACTTTTATTATTTTTATATTTAAAAGCAATTTTATATTTATTGATCATGACAAAGTAGTGCTTTTAAATTATATCAATATTTAAAAAGTTCATTGATTTTTTAGTTATGGAGGAAAAAATGTGTAGTTTGATAATTATTTTAATAATTGGCATTTTAGAATTTTGAAACTTAATTTATTTTAGTTAATCTGTTCTTTAGTAACTTTAATACTATTTATTTGTTTATACTTGTAAAAACAAGTTAGATATTTCCTTATGCGGGTAACTAACTAGATTTTTACCAATAAGATAAAAGTTCAGCTAGCCAACTAATTAATACTAAGATTCTCCATCTCGTTTACTTTAATAATGTTATTTTATTAACTTGTAAATAAAAAATTTAGAGATGAAGAGTGTTACACCAATGCTCCATGTTAGGTGAAATAGTATGATAATGAATGATCCAATCAAAGCCCAACTTGTTAAGAGCAAAAAGTCTAAGAATGAACTATTACCGTAACTTCCATTGGCAGTTGACTTTCCCAAATTATTAATTGTTCAAATTTGCGGTTGATTTGACTTGCTATTTTTCTTTTAATACACACGAGACCACCTATAAAAGTCAAACATAGCTATAAAGTCAAACATAGCTAAGTAAGTGTCTTTTGTATTATATTATTAATTATTAATGATGTAGCAATAATGTTACTCATACTTTGTCTGTAAAGCTTGTGGTGATGAGTCCAAAGCCTTTATCTATGAGTAACATCTAATTAAGTATTTTTTCTTAAAAGAAAATTTTGGTAAAAATTACTCCTCCGTTTCAAAAGGGGATGATATTTTAATCTTGTGATTCTAAATTAAAGTTATGTCAAATGTATCAAAATGTGCTTTAATCTTGTGGTTCTAAAGATTCCATGTAGAAAGTTGAAGTTAAAGTGTTGCCAAAAAAGGAAATGGGTCATTCTTTTTTAAACAAATTAAAAAAGGAAATAGGAACATTCTTTTTGAAAGGGAGAGAGTAGTACGATACTTCTGACTAGTCAATGCTAAATTGCAATTGGCCAACTTGTTGTCGGAGTCGACTTATAAAACAGAAAACCAAGTCGTTCAACCAAACAAAGTCATTGCCAAACTTTTTATCGTAGAGTCATTTGGTACGTTAGATAAAAAGATAATTATCACGCAATAAAATATAAAATTAATTTCATCACATTTTTGATTCGAGGTATTAATTAATAACAAGATTATTTATTTCACTATTTGTATGAAAATAGTGGAATTATTACTATCTCATATCCCATTGTACACCCACCCACTTACGGGAAGAAAAAATAATGGGAAGAGAGAAAGGAGCTTGTCAAGGTAAACAACACTTCAGCCATCCACACATCTTGAAACCCATTGTGAATCTCTCATTTGCAATGCTTGTGAGCAACCATACATTACTAGTAATTTTTATGGCTGCATCACCTGCCAATATTACCTCCATGAAAACTGCCTCAACGCTTCGCGTTTTCTTGATCATTCTTCTCATACTTCTCACCACTTGACCCTTCTTCCAACTCCGACTTACTCGAATCAATCTTACACTTGCAAGGCTTGTGCTCATTTTTGAATCCCCTTTTTATGATGATGCTGTTGATGAAAACACAGTTTTTGTTTGTGATCTGTGTCGTGACAATGTAGATCTTAATAACTGGTTGTATTATTGTGCTGATTGTGATTTTGGAGCACATCTCGAATGTGGCATTTCCAAATATATCAGTCAACAACAAGTACCAAAACTGCAAGTCAACAAACCAAGAGCAAATCATATTTATTAGTATATTATTATAAGCATCAAGCCTCAAAGATAAAAGTTGAAAGATCAATTTTACCCTTAAATATCAAAATATTGAACCACATTTATTATTTAATAATTAAATAATTGTATTAACCAAATTGAAAAAAAAAACATAAAATAATTAAAACAATTCAAACGTCTACTCAAATTTCTGTCATAATTGTGCTTTACATTTACCAATGCAAATTTTACCAAATATTGTTATTTAATTTTTAAAAATAAATTATCCCTTCAATATTAACTACAGTATTGTAAAACATTTCATATCCATGGTTACTAATTTAAATTAAAAATCCAAAAGTCTGTAACTGATCCATTAGTTAGGTAAATATTACATGGATATTAAGATATAAAACATAACTGAAATGAAACTTGAGTGGCTAAAGCAAAAGATTAAATGAAGAAAGAGATTACTTTTGATAAAAGTTGACGAATAGAATAAGCCGAGGGAAGAAAGAATATGTAATTAATTCAACGTTTGGAGAGAAAATTCATGAAGAATGGACTATGTGATTCTTACGTACTTGTATTATTATAAGTGAGAAACTTTAACATTAAAAATTGAATTTCCATTTTACTCTTAGACTAAATAAAAAATATTATAAAACATGTAAATAATAAAATATTAAATAATCAAAAGTTGAGTAATCATTTTAAAAACAAGTTATTTACCGTAATTTAACTATATTGATAGAAATCTTTCATCTCCCCATTAATTAACTTAATACAGATTACTTGAACTCAATTTATAATCCTACTGATTTATATCTCACATTTACTATTTTTTCCCTTGAGCTTCCAAAAGTTATATTTTTTTCCTTGAGCTTTCAAAAGTTATATGAACTTTTCATGTTCCCTGTTAAATAGAATTGGAGTAATATATAGTCATGTGCAGTGATTTTCTACAATTCAAGTCACATTAATCTTTCATCTTTAAGCTTTATATAATACTGACCAAAAAAAAAAATAATGTCACATAAAACGGGATGGAGAGAATATATAGATCATTAGCAGCTATATGTCATAAAAGTTTGAATCTATAATATATTGTTGATTGGTAACTTATTCCTCTTATGTTCATTTTAGTTCTCAACAATATATATTTAATATATGAAAATTTCCTTCAGTTTGCTAAATATCTTTTTTTCCCCAATATTTCAGATTTTATTCGACAATTGTGCGCCCTCTCACTTCTCACCATCAGGTACATAATGGATATACTATTTACAACTTTCTCTCTTTTTTAATAAAATATTATTATTTCACATACATAAAATATAGTTTGTACAAAATGTGATATAGAAATAAGATTTTTGAGATTTGAGAAATTGTCTTAATAATTTTCAGGATATTTAGATCTTATACTTTTTAACATCTTTTAACTTTTTATATCAAGTCACTCGTTCTTTGATAAAGATTGATTCTTATTATATTTCGTAATGCAATTATACTTAAACAATAAAAGTAATACTCTTATGTCAAATTTTCATATGAAAGAAAATGTTTTTGAATAGAGATTGATTCTTATTATATTTCGTAATACGATTATATTTCAACCATACAAATAATATTATTATGTTAAAGAAATTCAATCTTGATTTAAAGAAATGATACATGTAGGTGCATTTGTAATTAATATATATTGATTCATTTTATCTTCATCATAATATAATTACTACTTTTTTTAGGTGTAAAATGGCCTAAAATACCCTTGAAGTATTAAAAATGGTATAAAATTGCCATTCATCCACCTATTGGCTCCAAAATGCCCTATTCATCCACCTATTAGCTCCAAAATACCCTTGTCATCCACCTTTGGGTTCAAAATTAACCACTTTTTTAATTGTTTTAAAATTAAACTCTTTAATTTTTTTTAAAATACTTGGTGTTCAACTATTGGTTATAGTTTTAATTTATTAATATAATTTATAAACCAACCCACTATCCACTCATTACTAACTAAACCTCACCCAATTAATAATTCAATTATAATATCAAAATCGTCATAAACACTACTAAAACACGATGAAACTATAGATTCCTGAAAATGACATCCAAAATTATTCAAGTCCGAGTCGAAACCCCAATTAAATTTAGGTTGAGCCGCTTATTTAGGAGGACACTTTCTTTCAAAATTGAATTAGAAATTTATGATTAAAGGTAAAGAAGTAATACATCCCGAATTAATTCATGCACTTTTTTTAAATATAATTTTATAAATATTTATGATTTGTTTTAAAACCTTTAGTATATTATTTTGAAAAAAAGTTACCGATGAAGTAACATTACATAATTGAAACGTAAGAATAATTAAGATGAACATAGTCAGACTTATAAGTTTATCAGTGATTTTTATTTACCCACTTGAATGTATGATAATTTACTTCTATAATTTTTAAAAACACTCAATTGACAGTAGCTTGCATTAATAATGTGACATGTTTATTAATTTAGAGAGATTTAATTAGTTATGGGTGGGTAGTGAATTGATTTATAAATTATACTAATAAGTTAAATTATAACAAATAGTTGAGCGCCACATATTTAAAAAAATATTTAAATAGTTTAAATATAAAACCGTTAAATAAGTGGTCAATTTTGAACCAAAAGGTGGATGTGAAGGGTATTTTGGAGTCAATAGGTGGATGAGAAGGGTATTTTGGAGCCAATAGGTGGATGAAGGGTAATTTTGTACCATTTTCAATACTTTAACGGTATTTTAGACCCTTTTCGGTACTATAAAATTGACAATGATATTCTAGTCATATTAAAGAAGACGTATGTTGATCAACTTTCTGTTCAATATTTGTAAAATATTACTTTCATTCGACAACAACTTCTTGTTATGCATTCATTATAAGAGGAGAAATTCTCAAATTTAAAAAAAATATAAAAAAGTTTGGCTTAAGTCATCGATAGCCCCTTAAAGTTGTCCGCATAATTCATTTAGACACCTCAACTGAGACTCTTACCTGTTAGACACTTTAATATTAATAAATATTTATCTATTAAACATAAAATAACAATTACCTTTACAAATATTGTGCGTGTAATGCACACTCCTTATCTTTACAAAAATTACGAATAGAACTACGGCACGTGGCATATGGGCCCATAATTTTAATTTTAAAAAATAAAGAATATTTTCCTTCCTTTAATAATATATAAAAAATTAAATTGATAAAAGAAAAATCTTTCTCCCCACCTAACCCCCACCCCATCTAACTTACTGCCCTTTTTTCTTCATCTTCTTCTCTTCTTCTTCTCTGTTGTTCCACAATCACCATTTCTCTGCATAACAAAAAAAAAATGCTTAACCCCATTTCATTCTGAATTCATCCACCAAATGTTGTCCTCTTTCATTTTCTTCGTTATATGCTATTTGTCCGACGACTATCCCGATTTTATAAATATAATCAACCTTGATAAATTATTTTGAAATCGACAACAAAGAGAAATTAAAATTATATCAAATATTTTATAGCATTTCTAATAGGTTTATGAATGGTGATAGTTGCTCAATTGGAGTTATTGAAAATAAAAATGTACAGACATTGGTCAATTTTTTAACTCCAAATGGTTCATTTTTTCTTCTTCTTGAAAATTCAACAGGTACTTTAATTACAGAAAATGAAAAAAAATGAATCATAATAAAAGATAGAGGTTTTTAAAATGGTGGGTTGATGCTTTCACTGATTTTGAACAATCTTCATCATTTTTCTTCAAATTATCATCCTTGTGAAGAGAAATTCGAACTTCGGATATAGAAGAGACGGTGGTGGTAGCGGCAGTAGAAACAGAGGCTGCTAAGAGAAGTGATTTCTTCATGTTGTTTTTGGATGGAAAAATAAGGGATTTTGGGAAATTGAATGGATGGTAGTTTAAATGGTGGGTTGAAGGAAGATGAGTGTGGGGTGTTTTTTTTTTTTTTTATGATTTAAAAGATTTATGTTTAATTAAATTAATTTTTTATATATATTTAGTCACGCTCAAAGCAGTGAGATACACTTATTTTGCCACATCAGCGTTTTGTGTTTAATAGGCACATTTCTTGATAATTTAGGTGTTCAATAGGTATAAGTCATAGTTCGGATGTCTAAGTGAATTATGTGGACAACTTTAAGGGGTTGCAGATGACTTAGAGCCTGTTTGGCTCAGCTTAAAAGCTGGTCAAACTGACTTAAAAGCTGGTCAAACTGACTTAAAAGCTGGTTTTTGACTTATTTAACTGTTTGACAATACTCAAAATAGCTTATTTTAAGTTAAAAAAAACTTATTTTAAGCCAAAAGTTAAAAGCTGGGTAGGGGTGCTTTTTTTTTTTTAGCTTATAAGCTGTTTTAAGTTGACCACGTTTTTATGTTTTTTCCCTTAATATTTTTATACAATCTTCAAATTACCCATATAACCCTAACATCTCTTTCTTCTATTTTTCCCTTTTCACGTTTGGAATAACAACTTCAGTACTTTTATCCAAACGCATAACTGCTTATTTTAAAAATAAGTTTCAGCACTTTCAAAAGTACCTTTTTAAAGCTGCTTTTATTAAGCTCATCCAACGGGCCCTTAGCCAAAAAAGTTTTATAATGATAATAATATGGGATAAACCTAAAGACTAGTCCAGTAATAATCAGGAAAACAGAGGAGTTACCAATCTGGATAACAGAAACCAATCGGGAGGAAGCAGAAGAGGAGGAGGAGGAGGATGCGGAATATCAAGAGGAAGACAAAGAAGAAGAATAAAAATTGCAAGGTCAATACTAAATTGATAAACATCCACATGAGTTGGAGCTCTGCTTTGGTTCTCCGTACGAAGATAAGGATACTCTATTTGCTTGTGATATCTGCAATATCATAATGGACTCCGACGAATCTTTGTACTATTGCGCTGATTGTGATTTGCGTGTTGCACTTGCAATGTGCATCTCCTGACGCTGATGTTCCCCGCACATCACAGCAGCATCCAAATCCAAATCTGAATCCCAATGGAACAGTGGTGATGATAAATTATGTGACTAAATAAAGTAAAAAAAAATGAAGCATTTTAGTCACCCTCATGACTTGGAACTCTCTGTAGTTCAAGAAGCTGAGGACTTAATCTGCTCAGGCTGTGAGGATAAACTTTGTGGCATTGCTTACAAATGCACAAAATCCAAATATGAATTCCCCCTTCACAAATCATGCTTCGAATTGCCAAATAAAATACTGCATGTATTTTGGTTGCAATGCTTGTGGTGAACCAAAATCATTTGTCTACGAATGCCTCGAATGCAACTTTAGTCTCCATGCTAAATGTGCAACCTCTTGGCCTGAAAATTTGATTCATGTAGATCATCAACATTCCCTTGTACTACAATATGAATGGCCATATGCTATTGAAGATTGTGTGAATATCTTTTGCAAGGTTTGTGATGGACTTTGCAATGATAGCAAGTGGCTTTATTATTGTGCAGAGTGTAAATTAGGCACACACCTGCAATGTGCAACGGTTTAAAAGGAAGACGGTTCGAGCTTTGATAAAGAAGAGGAAGAGATGACTAATGAGCAGAAATTGATGATGACGACCATCAAAGCTCAAGGACAACAGGCGAGGCTTACATTTCAAACTCAAATGGCATATATGAACGCCCAAACTATAAGCAATATGAGGCGTAGCTCTCATCGTTATTATGATTGAAGGTTTCTATATCTTTAGTCATGATGGATTCACTTTGCAATGGAGAAGAATTGATTATTTTGGAGTTGTTCCTTTAATTTTGTGCATCAGTTTATAACTGTAGTATCCGAACGCTCTTGTTGTTTTAATTTGTGTTTTGTATTTCAGTCTCATAGAATAAATATCATGTTTGTTTCGATGTTCGGTGAAGTTTTTATCATTCTGCTGAACCATAATTTACAAGGGCAGTATACAAATAAGGGACAATAATATTAATGTGAAAAATTAAGTATGTATTAGTTAAAAGAAACTCCCTTAGATATTATCGACCGGAAGTATTACTACTACTTTCTATCAGCCTAGCTGTAATTACAGCTATGAAATTATAACCGGACTTTTTAATTATTTAGCTAAATGTAATGGAGTTTCTGTTAAACTTTTTACGCATTAAAAAATGAGTTGGATAACATTTGTGGTATAATTAACCGCTAGTAGGAAAAATAATCTAAATACGTAACTTATTTTTATTTAAATACATAATTTATTTTATCACATTTTCCAAAATTTTACACCATTTAAAAATTACAAAAATTCATACTCTCTCCTATTCGACAATGTATCGATCGAATATATCATCAATATATCAGGAAGTTTATCCGAAATTAAAACGTGATGTATCAATATGTTGAGCGATGTATCAAAAACTAGAATGTGATGTATTAGAACGTTTTGGGATATATCCGAATTTCACCAAAATTAAGGAATTTTTTGTAATTTGAAAAAGAGCAGAAATAAATTGTAATTAGCTCTTAGCACTATAAGGTTCACTATAAGGTTTATGTAAAATTTCTAAGAAAATTATCTTACTCAGTTTTTTTTTACTCCAAATTACTCATCAAAAGTAAAAAAACAACTCTAGTTTTCAAATATTTTTTTTCATTTGACAACAAAAACTAGTTTTTTCAAATTTCCAGTAACACATGACCAAATAACCACCAGTATTCTTAGACCATATATGAACGTTGCTGAAAAAGGTCGCACATAGAGTCCAGTCATTAAGCAACTTGCTATGGCAAGTATGGCACAAGTTGATCCAATCAAAGTCCAAAGTCTATGTTCACCTTAGCTTCTTTTTTTTTTTTGTTTAAAAAAAAATCACCACTCAATGCCCTTAAAATAAATCAAATATATCTAAATCCGTAACACCACAAAGTCACAAGTCAACTCATTATCCCACAAATTTTTTCCACAAATGTAAATTCCTTGAACCTCAATATTTGACTTTCATGTCACCAACTTGTTAAGATTTCTGTATTTAACATGCAATTTTATATCAAATAGATTATACTCAAAACCTTAGCTTTTATTATTTACTAACGAAATCCCAACGAAATGGGAAGAGGAAAACAGACATGTGAAGGTAAACAACACTTCAGTCATCCACACATCTTGATACCAATTGTGAATCCAACTGAAACACTTACTTGCAATGCTTGTGAGCAACCAAACATTACTAGTAATTTCTATGGTTGCAACACCTGCCAATATTTCCTCCACGAAAACTGCCTCAACGCTCCGCGTTTTCTAGATCACTCATCTCATCCATCCCACCACTTGACCCTTCTCCCAGCTCCAACTTACTCGAATCGTTCTTTTACTTGCAAGGCTTGTGGCTCCGCTGGCAATGGTTGTAGCTTTAGCTGTGCCTGTTGCGACTTTGATATCCATGTGCAATGTGCCCTTTTGCCCCAAACTGTTGTCCTTCCCCAGCAACATCATCATGAACTTGAACTCATTTTTGAATCCCCTTATGATGATGACGCCGATGAAAGTACTGTTTTTATTTGTGATGTCTGTCACGACAACGCAGATCTTAGTAACTGGTTGTATTATTGTGCTGATTGTGATTTTGGCACACATCTAAAATGTGCCATTTCCAAATCTGTCAGACAACAAGAACCGAAACAGAGGAAAACAGAGAAGGAACCAATCAAGATACAAGAAATTAATCAAAAAGAGGAGAACAGAGGTATAACAACAAGTAAATCAAAAAATCTGAAGCATTTTAGCCACTCCCATCCTTTGGAACTCTGTAAAGTTCAACAATCAAATGAAATAATCTGCTCAGGTTGTGAGGATGAACTTTGTGACACTGCTAATTACAAATGCACAAAATCCATTTGCGAATTCACCCTTCATAAATCATGCTTCGAGTTACCAGAAAAAATACAACACAGTTCCCATCCTAATCACCCTCTCACTTTGTATCCTACTTCACCCGAACGACGACTCTATTTTGGTTGCAATGCTTGTGGTGAAATACCAAACTCCTTTGTCTACGAATGCCTCGAATGCAACTTTAGTCTCCATGCTAAATGTGCAACATCTTTAGCTGAAAATATAACTCGTGAGGATCATCAACATTCCCTTAAACTCCAATATCAATGGCCATTTCCTAGTGAAGATTCTGTAGATATCTATTGCAATGTGTGCGATGGATATTGCAATGATAGCTTATGGCTTTATTACTGTGCCGAGTGTAAACTTGGCACACACTTGAAATGTGTGACAGTTAAAAAGGAAGAAGATTCGAGTCTTGAGAATGAAAAAGAACCTGTACACGAAGAGAATATGACTAATGCAGAGAGATTGATGATGGCAACGATCGAACTTCAAGAACATCAGGCAAGGATGAATTTTCGATCTAATATGGCCCATCAAAATGCACAATTCATGAACAATTTGTTTAGTTATCCTTATCGTTATTACTAATTGTTTTCTTCTTCGGAAAATAAAATATAAACTGCTAGTAATAATTATTCGAGTCCAAATCAAACCCCAATTAAATCGTCATAAACACTACTAAAACACGATAGGATATTCTTTCAAGATTGAATTAGAAATTTATGATTAAAGGTAAAAAATTAATATATCCCGAATTAATTCATGCACTCTTTTTAAGTATAATTTTATAAATATTTATGATTTGTTTTAAAACCTTTAATATATTTGTTGAAAAAAAGTTACCTAACATCACGTAACGAGACATAAGAATAATTAAGATGAACATAGTCAGACTTTTAAGTTTATCGGTAATTAATTTTTATTTAAACACTTGAATGTATGATAATTTACTTTTATAGATATTCTCGCCTCAAATTTTTAAAAACACTTAATTAGCAATAGCTTTTCTGTTGTTGCATTAATAATATGACGGGTTTATTAATTTGGAGGGGTTTAATTAGTAATGGGTGGGTAGTGGATTGATTTATAAATTATATTAATAAGTTAAATTATAACAAATAGTTGAAAGTCACATATTTAAAAAAAATATTTAAATAGTTTAAATATAAAACCGTTAAATAAGTGGTCAATTTTGAACCAAAATGTGGATGACAAGGGTATTTTGGACCCAATAGGTGGATGGGAAGGATATTTTGGAACCAATAAATGGATGGAGGGTAATTTTGTACCATTTCCAATACTTTGAGGATATTTTAAGTCCTTTTCCGTATTATAAAAACATCATTTTTTAGTAATATTTTTTTAATATAAAAAAAATAATATTTTGAACATTTTTATGCATCTTTCAAGAATATAACTTTAAGTTACATCACTAATATGACAACTTTTTTTCCTCAAATTTTTTAGAATCTAATATAATGCAATATAAAATAGTTTGTATAGAGTAATAATATGATGCTTATGAAAATATTTTATTTTACAATAGATATTGTTATTGTTATCGATCAAATAATTAATATTTTTTTTTGAAATCGTGCTAAATATTATATTATGAAGTGTTTATTAATTCAAATATATTAATTAATTTATGAAAGTAAAAGACATATGACGTATTAGAGAAATGAGGGGAAAACGGGAAAAACTAATTAGTGGGAAATAGGTAAAATTGTATGTTAACAAAAATTGGGGGAAATTAGTAATTAGGGATCTTATTAGTCTTTAAGGAGGTGGGAGTTGTTAGATCATTATGTAGCGTCCATATGACACTTAACATACTTCTGTCAATTAGAAGGGTAAGTATGACTCAATACTTTGACGAGAAGAATATTTTTGAGTCAAAATATAGTTTAAGAGTAAATGTAAGCTATTTCCAATAGTTTAAGAATATTTTTGAGTCTTTTTTCTATTTATAAAATTAAAAAAAGCACCTAATTGCCACCCTAAATTCAAGAAGTTTGTTAAGGTAAGATCTAATCACCTCTTCTTATACTTATCCCTTTCCATATTTTTTTATTTTTAATAAATGCTCACTGGTTTGGCAAGCTAGTTGCAATAATCAAAACTTCAAATTTCAGAATAAGATGAATTATTATTAGTCAATAGTCAACGGTATGATAATGAATGATGGGAATGAGAACTTGCAAAGAGAAAAAGTCAAAAATAGTGGATTCTTTTGTAACATAATGCAGTTGACTTCTTAAGTTTCTTTTTTCGTCCTCGCTGGCTTTGAAAAATGCAACGGTGCTCCCCATTTTGATTAGTTCGTAGCTGTGTCAATGTGCTAATTAAACTTCTTTATCATAATAACAATTGGCCAAATTGTAATAGTTGTTGCATGGATTGCCAACTTATTACTACTAATTTAAATAGGGTAGCTATAAATACTAATACCAATTAGCTATAGTTTGGTCATTGAACTTGCTAGCTAGATCTCTATTATATTCATGTCCTGTTGTTGATAAGTGCATCAACAATACGAGAAAAAATGGGAAGGGAGAAACGGACATGTCAAGGTAAACAACACTTCAGCCATCCACACATCTTGAAACCCATTGTGAATCCAACTGAAACTCTCACTTGCAATGCTTGTGAGCATCCAAACATTACTAGTAATTTCTACGGTTGCAATACCTGTCAATATTTTCTCCATGAAAACTGCCTCAATGCTCCGCGTTTTCTCAATCATTCATCTCATCCTTCCCATCACTTGACCCTTCTACCAACTCCAACTTACTCGAATCGTTCTTATACTTGCAAGGCTTGTGGCTCTGCTGGCAAAGGTTGTAGCTTTAGCTGTGCCTGTTGTGAATTCGATACCCACATGCACTGTGCCCTTTTGCCCCAAACTGTTGTCCTTCCCCAGCACCATCATCATGAACTTGAGCTCATATTCGAATCCCCTTTCTATGATGATGGGAACACCGTTTTTGTCTGTGATCTCTGTCGCGACAATGTAGATCTTAATAACTGGTTCTATTATTGTGCTGATTGTGACTTTGGTACACATCTCGAATGTGGCATTTCCAAAACAGTCAGCCAAGAACGTCCGGAACTGTTGGGCAACAAACCAAGAGAAAATCCAGTAGTGATCAGGAAAACAGAGGAGGTACCCGTCAAGAACGAAAAAGAAATCAATCAAGAAGAAGAGGCAGAGGAGGAAGAAGCGGAAGAGGAAGAGGAAGAGGAAGAGGAACTCAATTATCCAAGTTCGATTCTTATTGATAAACATCCACATGAGTTGGAGCTCTGCTTTGGTTCTCCTTACGAAGATAAGGATACCCTATTTGCTTGTGATATGTGTAATATCGTAATGGACTCGGATGAATCATTATACTATTGTGCTGATTGTGATTTCGTGTCGCACTTGCACTGTGCATCTCCTGATGCTGATGTTCTTCCGTCATCACATCCACGTTGAAATCCAAATCCAAAATATCAAATTCCAAATGTAAATTCATCAGTGGAGATGATAAATTCAGTTAGTGATGCTCAAGAGCGGCTTATAGCAGCTCAAATTGAATCTCAGATTGCAAGAAGAGGAAGACAGGCTATACTGGATTCGATAGACGGGCCATCACCAAGACGCTATTACTACTAAATGCTATCCGCCTTTTCAATCCTATGTTAATTTTCTGCAAATCAAATGCCTCTTGTATTTCTATTTTATTTACCCCCATTCATAGGGCCCAATTTGAGGAGGGATAACCCTACCTATCAAGAATATTTTCATATCCAGGGCTTGAATTTAACACATCGGACATCAACACCGTCCACTATACCACATCCTGACGACTCTTGCAATTTTATCGTTCATGTATTGATGGACATCTTTCTCCATCTTCTTTACGGTTTCTATGTTAATGTATTCACAGTTGGTTGATAATGATATTGTTGAGTAGAATTTACATTTATACTAACATAACAGCAGTTCATAAAATACACATAAAAAATAATGGAAGAATATCTTGCGCACAAAAATTAAGACTAGAACTAAATACAAGGGTGAAATTCGAATTCAAATGTCTGCACTGGAGATGATAAATTCAGTTAGTGAGATTAGTGATGATTTTTTTGAATATCAACTTGCTAGTCGAATGGCAAGACGATTAGGAGAAGAAATGATGGATTCGGGCAGGCCAACACGAACATACATTTACTATTGACTATATAGTAATGTTATCATCTTATGAGTGATAATGCATATAACATGCACTTTCATATTATTAATGTTATTTCTTCAAATTATATAAATGTTTGATAATTTCCATATTTCATATTATATACGGTCGCGTATATCGTAAATTTTTTATAAGCAGTGTCACTTTTTAAATGAGAAAAATAAATAAAATAATGTAATACACTAATACCATATTAAAAAAGAAATTATACGAATTATAAATACAATTCAAGTATATTTTTATATCTTTTCTAAAAAATAAAAGAAAAATATATTATAATTCTTTTCAATGACTTCTCTTTTTTATGAAATGTATTCAAAACAATTTCACGAGATAAATGTTAAAAACACATCTAAACTTTAATGTAATTTTTATGGATAGTAATACTTTAATCTTTAATTTTTAATTAATATTAATATTTTATAATTTAATTTTTATCCGGGTAAAATATTTTATATATGTGGAATGCTTTGTGTGAAGGTTTTTCAAAATAAAGAGAGAATGCATTACACACACCATTGAGGGGTGTTTCTCAAACTAAAAAAATGATAGTTTATGTATAAAACTCACACTCTCAATTGTTTAGGTATAAAACTCAAAAAAAAATAAAAATAGTTTAGGTGTGTTTTTGACAATTATCTCTAATTTCTACTTACTAATATTTATGTATATAAAACATCAAATAATTACTAAACTGTTATAAATACATTGAATTAAGTGGATAGTCCATAAGGTTGGTACATGAACAACCATTCATATTCACTAGGTGACATGAACCTTTTTGGATAAGAATGTATCTATTTATTATGATACTTAATATGGTGACCTTTGGAGTGATTTCTCACTCTATAAATAGAGTTGTTCATTCACTGTTGTAATAGATACATATGAGACTTGAATACGCTTGAATAAGAAGAAAATTTCCCTTCTTCTATCTATCTCTCTTGTCTTCATCTCTTTGTATTTATATTGTCATGAGCTTGATTTTATAACACGTTATCAGTACGAGTCTCTAGCCAATTAAGATTGAGTTTTACTTTTTCTTTAACTCATGTTTTGGTTGATCTCGTTATGAAGATCAAAGTATTATATGCATAAAATCAGGTATGTATTTTCTAGAATATTTTTATGATTTAGAATAAAATAGTATTCAGTCACTAACAATAAAATCAGGAACCGAAGACATATACTACTATTGGTTGAATATGACATGCTATACAAAATTTCTTAAATAGAAGAAGGTATAAAATTTTAATAGCATGAATTTGAATGTTATTTTGATTGTTTTGAAAGACTCAAAGGATGAGTCATGTTGTACTTCGATTTATTATACCGTTGGTTAAGGGTAAGACGATGAATTCAAGTTTCATCGCACCAAAAAGGTAAGACATCAGGTTAAAGTCCGGATGCACCATAATGAAAAATATTTGAGGATAAGACGATAGATTCAAGTTCTATCGCACCAAAAGGGTAAGACATCAATTTGAGTTTTGATGCACCGTGATTGGGTTCAAGTCCCATAGAATTATGGCGTAAAACGCCTTATATGGATAAGACATTGAGTTTGAGTCAATGCACCATAATGATGATATAATGATGACTAGGCTTTGATGAAAAGTCTTGAAATTCGTTCTATTGAATTTGCTTCATTCCTTGAAAAGAATGTGGTTGCAACATGTAATAACTCTGAAATCCGCCTGTTAACTTGCTCCATTCAATCATATGAATGTGGTAGCAGTGAATGTTAGTCTGAAAGATGACAAATGATTAATGATATGAATAAAGGCGTGGAGGGACATAATTATAATAGTCATCATTGTGGTAATGATAAAAGGAAGAACACTATAAGTTCTTCAAATAGTCCTTCAAAATGTGAAGGCAATTTAAATAAATATGTGAACTTAAAGTTCAAGGGATAATTCAGTTGCATAATGTTGCAAATCAGTTGCCAGAGGAATGCACTGACCCTATGATATAATTCAGCTGCGAATGCTTCAATGTGAAGTCCTTGAAGGACAGAGTCTATGATACGCCGAAAGCGTAATAGACCAATTGATTCCAAATATAAAATTCCTTAAAGAAGGAAGGAGCAAATGATCAATATGGTCATGATAATGAGGCAAGTGCTATAAAAGAGCACATTGACATAACACTTCATAAAATCTTGAAAAAGGTTCAGGTACCTGAAATAATAAAAAATGAAGAGATCTCGATAAGTTATGTCTTGTTGGAATCGATATCAAATAACCATCGACGGTATCTTTGATATGAGGTAGCGCTCAATGATATAAATTGTGACGAGGATCTTGAATTCAAATCTGTCATATAGTGTGGACAGATAAATGGTTGGCCAAGTAAAATGCACAATTCAAGTATATTTTGTTTCACTTAGAAAAGTGACATTTTGGACTGTTAGTCCATAAATTAAGGTATAATGTCAGTGGGGTACAAATAAGTTATTATGCGATAGTATAACCGTAAGATATCAAATACGGTTTGTGCCTTGGGGCATAAAGGTTTATCGCAAAAATCCTGACCTTATTGGAGATGTTTTCTCCTTTGGTGGATGCAATGAGGTTTGTTTTGATCTGGCAACATATGAAAACTTGAATGCATGTAAATGAATAATTGTAATGTCTAGCTAGACAATGAAGGTTATATGAAAATTCTTGAAACAATCGAGGTGTCTGAAGCATATAGGAGTTTGAAAGTAACTTTTCCAATAAAGCTTCAAGAATCTTTATGTGGATTGAAATAGTCAAGGAAGAAAAAGGGTACAAAAGAATGACCCTAATTTTCCTTGTATTTTTATGAAAAGGTCTTGGTAAGACAAAATTTTGTCTAGACCTACAGATTGTTAATTTGACAAATAAAATATTTGTCTAACAGTGCACATACACTGAAAAATTTTGATGCAATTTTATGTGGATATATCGCATTCATTGAGTACCCCAATGATTATGAGATCACTTGACATAAATGATGATTCAGTTTGATCTCAAAAGAAGGATGAAGAGTTTCTTGGTGATGAAATCTATCTTGGTGCAATCAGGGCACTAGTGCATTTTACTAACAATATTTGACTAGATATTTGTTTTGCAGTAAATTTACTGGCAAGATTCAGTTTCTCCCCGATAAAAGGACATTGAAATGGTGTTTAGCACATGATTGAATATCCTCGAAGGACCATAGTTATGGGTTTATTCTATCCCGAGGAATCCAAGACAAAATTGATTGGTTACGCAGATGCAGAATATTTATCTGATCCGCATAAAGATCTATCTCAAGAACGCTATGTGTTTGCATGTGGAGGCACAATAATATCCTGGCGATCAATGAAGCAAATGTTGCTATGCAGAAATAAAAGTCCTCCATGAAGCAAGTCGAAAGTGCGTCTGGTTGAGATAAGTGACACACCATATTCAAGAAATGTGTGATTTTTCTTTTAAAAAAAGAATATACCAACCACAATGTACAAAGATTGGAGACATCATCACAAGAAATCAAGTGATGTTTTAATCAGGGGGAGTACAATACGCGTTGCACTCTTTTTCCCTTGATCGAGGTTTTTTCCCACTGGATTTTCCTGGCAAGGTTTTTAATGAGGCAACAAATGGTGCGTATCAAAAGATATGTGTACTCTTTTTCCTTCACTAGAATTTTTTCCCACAGGGTTTTTCCTAGTAAGGTTTTAACGAGGCACATTATCTATGGACATCCAAGGGGGAGTGTTATAAATACATTGAATTAAGTGGATAGTCCATAAGGTTGGTACATGAACAACCATTCATATTCACTAGGTGACATGAACCTTTCTGGATAAGAATGTATCTATTTATTATGATACTTAATATGGTGACCTTTGGAGTGATTTCTCACTCTATAAATAGGGTTGTTCATTCACTGTTGTAATAGATACATATGAGACTTGAATACACTTGAATAAGAAGAAAATTTCCCTTCTTCTATCTATCTCTCTTGTCTTCATCTCTTTATATTTATATTGCCATGAGCTTGATTTTATAACATAAACAAAGAATTTTCTGTTTGAATAAATATATTAGTTATTATTTACAATAGTAAAATAAAAAAATATTAGTTGTTATTTTTCTTTTAAGCACTTTTTATTTCTATTAAAAATAGTACTTTCAAAGAACCCCAATCTTGTTTCTTTTATATAATCTTATTTTTTTCTTATCAATTTCATTGTATCAATTAATATCGGATAACTACATCTGCCTTTTTAACTACTAGGATAGATCAGATATATATCATGGTAACCCAACCCATCATGCATTAATTTCATTTGGATAAAAATAATTTTATTTTAATAAATATTTATATTTCTTAATTTTTTTTTAAAAAATGGAAGTAGGATATATATATTTGCTATTAAGAAAAAAATAGTGTTAAAAAAGAATGAAATATTATATTTATTTGAAAAAAAAACATTTTTGAGGGTATTTATTAACCAAATTATTGATGGGAATGATCTTTTAACCAAATTATTGACCAAGTGACTTTCATTTTTTTAACCTTTTTCTCTAAATTGTATATGAAATCTGATCACATCCACCTTGAGTAATTAATATGGTAACACCAGAAAGAAGACTAATTGAAGGATGAGAATCAAACAAATTATGGAGGTACAAAATTGAATTGAGAATCTAATTAAATTGCAAATTGAGTTAATCGGAAAAAAAAATTGACTAGTGATTTGGTTGACTTGGTTTGGTATTGGAAAAAAAATCCGACTATATTTGGGTTGGTGTGGTTTCAACTAAAAAAAATCAATCCGAGACCAAATCAACCCGATATTATATATATAATTTTAAAATTTTGTTTTTTTTAACCTAAAAGTACTTACTTTGATATATTTTTTTAAATATCTCTTATACTTTATTATAGTTTTATCTTTCAATATAATTATTTCATGTTTGGAAGTTAGAATTCTTAATGATCTTATAAGATTATAGTCTATACCTGTTGGTAATTATAATAAAGTTTAAATAAAAATCAAATTAATACTAATGCAAAAAGAAAATCAATTCAACACTAAGAATGACAATAATATTGAATATTTGTTTTTTACTTTTACATAGATTTAGACAATTAAAATATATGATCTAATTTTATTTTCTTTTAATATTTAGTCATGTAACTAATACTTACTAAACTCATTTTAACATGATTTAGTACTTTAAATTATGATCAATTTCATTATGACTTATTAATTTGCAACATATGTTTTACGCAATTTTATTATTATTATTTCTTTGGATATTTTAGTGTCATTAATTATATCATATTTTCTGTTATTTTCTTGAGAATTAACTTAGATAGTTGCATTTTGGTAAGATTAAATAAATATTTAAAATACAAGTAAATTATATGTTTTTATGAATACATTATCGAAAAAACTCGAAAATCTAAAAAAATCTGAAAAATCCGAAATTAAAAAATTCGAGTTTTATTTGTTTGGTTTGATTTATAAATTCAAAAACCTAACACAAATAACTTGATTTAATATTTAAAAAAATCCAAACCAACCCGATCATGTACACCCCTAAAACAAATATATGATTGTTCGTTTTGCAAGTTAACTAGTATTAAGATGCTGCAATAATCAGACTCCAAAATCTGATTCAGATCGGAACAAGACTAGTAGTCGACTAGCACTACGTACTAAAATGATTGATGAAAATAAATGCCAACTTGCAAGTGCAAAAAGTCTACCAAAATTTTCATGAACCTCACATAATTAACTTGTGAATACAAAGATGCTCCGCGCCATTTTAGTCAAAGTCAAAGCATGAAGATGCTCAGCTCCATTTTAGTATCGATAACAGCTAGTCAGTCAATATGATAAAAGATATTTTAAAAAACTTTAGCATAAATTGTCAATGTCGGAGACGACTTAGTAAAAGAAAAAATAATAATTATGGAAGCAAAGTCGTCTAAAGGAAGCAACGTGGCAAACTTATTGCATCGTATAGTTGAATTAAAATATGTGTTAATTATCGCTTGCAGCTAGCTAAGCTAACTCTCCAATATATATCCATTATACTGCACAACAATATTACAAAGGAAAAAAAAAAAATATGGGAAGACAAAACCGGGGTACAAATGCGGGACCTCAAGATAAACAACACTTCAGTCATCAACACGCCTTGAAACTAATTGTGAATCCAACTGAAACAATACTCACTTGCAATGCTTGTGAGAAACCAAACAATACTAACAAGCCTTTCTACGGCTGCAACACCTGCCAATATTTCCTTCATGAAAACTGCTTCAACGCTCCGCGTTTTCTCAATCACGCGTCTCATCCTTCCCATCCTCTGACCCTTCTCCCAAGGGCGACTTACTCGAGTTGTTCCTTTAATTGCAAGGCGTGTGACACTGTTGGCAATGGATTTTGCTTTAGCTGTGCTTGTTGTGAATTTGATATTCACTTGCAATGTGCATCTCTTCAGAGTTTGATACTTATTGATAAACACCCGCATCAATTGGAGCTCAACTTCGGTTCTCCTTACGAAGACAAGGATAGTGAATATGTTTGTGATATCTGCAGTGAAATAATGAATAAGGAGAATTGGTTGTACTACTGCGGTGGGTGTGATTTCGCATCACACTTGCACTGTGCAATAACTAGTCCTGAAGTTGGTGTTTTCGCCAAACAGCAGCAGCGTCCAGTTCCAAATCAAAATCAAAATTCAAATTCAAATAGAAATCCAAATGCAACAGTAGATATGATAAATTCAGCAAATGAAGCTCATGAACAGATAATGGCAGCTCAACTTCGTGCTCAGATTGCGGCACGAGGAAGAGAGGCTTGTCTGGACTTGGTGACTCCACGAAGACGATACGGTTACTATTAACTCTATCATCCTGATAAAAAAATAGTTCAGGCTCAAATTATGTCTTATATTGAGACCACCTGTTTTTTAATTGCAAAATAAATGTTCTCATGTGTAATTTCTCTTCAGATTAAAATGTTATGACTATTTATTACTATTTCCAATTATATCATGTGAATGCAATAAGTTTTCAATGTTCACTCTAAGAAAACAAAAACGAATTACTAAGAGTCATACTATAAATTGTTTCTGATGATTCAAATAAAATATTAGGTAGATAAACCTAGGCGAATTCTAGATTTAAATTTTTTTATTTTTCACTGTGCATCTGCCCTTGTTGACGAACGAAATTTTAGATTACAAGGGCGTAGAATAATAAGATCATCAAATTCCCAATTTGACTAGGCTTTAAGCGTTTGTTTTTCCCTTGTAAACCGCTCTTCACAACAGTGTTCCAAACACAACGTGTACGCAACAACAGACAGTAGAACTAACACGCAGTAGTCGTATAACACAAAGGTTAAAAGTGCATTGCTGTGTATCATTTGTCCTAAAAATTCATTGAATATTATTATAAAAGGGGCAGAGCTAGAGTAATGTTTGCTTTAGTTTTGGTCGAATCAGTAGGTTTAATTCAAACTCTGTATTATTTGCCCTAAGTAGTTATCGAATGTATACACCACAATCATAAAATTCTAGCTGCAAAATCATGACACCGAAAAGGGCTGAAAGAATAAGAAGTGAGAATCAACTTGAGATGCTCGATAAAAGCATGAGAATTAAGGGCAACCCGGTGCCAAAGCATTCTGTATTCACCCAGGATCAGGAAAAGAATAGTACTCCAACGTTCAGAAGATTATCAATACAGAAACTATTAATTAAGTATTAATCAAATGAATGATAAAATGCCAACTTGCAGAGAGCAAAAAGTCTAACAGTGAACTTTTACCGTAACATCCATGAAACCTCAATACAGTTGACTTCCAAAGTTATCAATTTGGCGAATTTGGTGGGTCTAATTTTACAGTTTAATCACAAAGACAACCACCTCGACATATAAAAAAAGAATTCCAATCATATTGGGCCACAGGACTAAATTCGGATTTGCATTGGAAAATCTCATGTTTGGGGCAAAACATTCTCAAACGTTAAAAGTTGATTTTATACATAGGGCTCGAACCCAAGACCTGAAAAAGAGTACTTAGAAGGGCAATATTTAGACTCAGTTGTAATTATACGAAGATGCCTGCCATTATTTTAGTAGCCATTCGATAAGAGCGCCAAGTCAGTCAATATGCTTACAGATATGTAAATATAACTTTGAATAGCAACTGGCCAAATTGTTGCTATTAATAAAGGAAAAAAACACAAAGATGCTCGGCGGACCAATTATTTTAGTACGTAGCCAATGGATAACAGCTAGTTAATGTTGGAGACGACTTATTAGTAAGTAAAAGAAAAAGGAAATATGCATCGAAGCAAAGTCGTCGTCCAAACGAAACAACGTCGCTAAGTTATTGTATTGTATCATATAGTTGAATTGAGATATCTATAAATATGCAGAGACGTAACTCTCCAATATATCTCTGTTACATTGCACAACAAAATAACAAGGAATAACAAAACAGAATGGGAAGACTGAACGGGGGTACAAATGAGGGTAAACAACACTTCAGCCATCAACACGTCTTGAAACAAATTGTGAATCCAACTGAATTAACTCTCACTTGCAATGCTTGTGAGAAACCAAACAATACTAACAAGCCTTTCTACGGCTGCAACACCTGCCAATATTTCCTCCACGAAAACTGTTTTAATGCTCCGCGTATTCTCATTCACTCATCTCATCCTTCCCACCCGTTGACCCTTCGCCAAATTTCGTCTTACGTGAGTGGTTCCTATATTTGCAATGCTTGTGGCTCTGGTGGAAATGGATTTTGTTTTAACTGTTCTGATTGTGAATTTGATATACACTTGCAATGTGCATCCTGTCCTAGCTCCACACTTGTTGATAAACACACGCATCAATTGGAGCTCCACTACGGTTATCCTGAGGATAACGAATATGTTTGCGATATCTGCTTTGTAAGGATGAACAATGACAACTGGTTTTACTATTGCGGTGGGTGTGATTTCGCTTCACACTTGAACTGTGCGATAATTAGTCCTGAAGTCGGTGTTTTCCCAAAACAGCAGTGCCCAAATCCAAATTCAAATCCAAATCCAAGTCAGAATTCAAATCCAAGTCGGAATTCTAGTGCGAATGCAGCTGTGGAAATGATAAACTCAGTGAATGATGATCATGACCGGCTTATAGCAGCGCAAATTGGAGCTCAGATTGCGGCACGATCAAGACAGGCTATTCTGGACTTATGGTAGACAATCACGAATATTTATTTACATATAATTCTATCGTGATTATCTACCTTCTTCTGTAAAACTGAAGCAAAAATAAATGCTTTATTATTGTTATCTTGTTATTTCTCTTTCAGATTTGTATCTTTAATTATAAAGTTTATCCATTTTCGTTTTGGTTTCTATGTTTATATATTACAAACTATTGTTTGTGTCATGATCCCAAAACAAGCCTTGATAAACTCTACATTAGGGAAGAGTTCTATTTGTTTTTGGGTCAATCCAAAATTTACGATAGATCAATAACATAACCAATCAATCTCATCAATAATCCACCTTATCCACTCATAGACTATTCAAAGTATAGAAATACAAAGTCCATCTCCAAGAACAAAAGAAGTCTAATATTCGACACAAGCTTACAATATGTGGCAAGGAGTGAAACGCTAGCTCAGTGAGTAATGACGCTTAATCACAACCTTTTTAATGAGGGACGAGTCAAAATATACTAGTCTGATAATCAAAATCATGTAATAAATGCCCTTTCAGAAGACGATAACAATATTTAATCTCATATGTCACGTGTAAGCAAAATCAATGTATCAATCATAGTATATAAAACTTTAATCAAAACATATGTCAATATTATTTCTTAAGTAAATGTTAAACTCTTTCATAGCCGTAATCATATCTCAAGTATCAATAAATATATCTTATAAAAAAGAGTTAATCTCAAATAACTATTTTGGTATCATATCAAGTAAAAGACTTGTCCCATATACAAGTTCAAAACATTTCGACACATCATTCACTTTATAAACCATGAAATTTGTGAATAACAACTTGTGGTAAGATTACTACGTACTCAATATACTCGTGTTAAAATACCAAACTTGTCACTTCAAGTAATCTGTGCGACTTTCATTCGATCAAACCTATATTTGCATCATATAAATCTGGTGTTAAAATCTCCTTGTTAGAGCAATTTCATAACTAATTTACAATACCCAATCCCCAAAGTTACAGTTCAACCCTCACTTGTCAACTCTTATTTATTCATTGGTCTAATTTACAAGACCCAATCCCCAAGGTTATGGTTCAACCATCACTTGTCAACTCTTACTTATTTATTAGTCTGCCGGTCCTTCAATTTTCAGCGACAAAGAGTCATAATTTCAAATACTTCTGTTTGAAACTTCCACTAATTCAACTAGTGAGACTAGGAGTAAACTTTAGTGTTAGTAGAATAAAAATCTGCTTTTATCCATGGGTATTCTCATATTCAAATCAGTTGAATTCATATTTAAATTGTCGATGCCACTTTAACCCAACCCGTGAGAATACTTATATAGTGGACAATTATTATTGAACGGGGAGATTATTCATTTTTGTAGAGAATTATTGAATATTACTTTCAATTGTATAATATATAGTGTTACTAGAAAGGATTACAAGGGTTGAATATGTTCACAAGAAATGTCGTTACATTAACGAAATTTAGTGAAAGTTGATTAAAATTGCCCGTTAATTAATCCATTGATGGATTGTATAATACGTCTCTAAATAGTTTGGTTAATCTGTAGCTTTAATTAAAATTCAATACCATTTGTCCTAAGAATTCATTGTATGTGTACAATTATCAATTTTAGAATGTACTCCCTTCTTTTCAAAAAGATTGACTTCCTTTTCTTTTTACTATGTTTCAAAAAGAATGATTTCTTTTCTTTTTTGGTAATAATTTTCCACGCAGCATGTTTAAGATCACAAGATTAAAGAGCAATTGTGTACATTTGACATAACTTTGATTTAGAACCACATAATCAAAAGTCTTCTTATTTTCTTAAAATTCGTGTCAAATCAAATTATGTCATTCTTTATTAAACGGAGGACTTAAGAGCAATAATTTAATAAGATCAGAATCTAAAACCACAAATATTCAAATCCTGCCTCTGTAAAATCATGACTCCAAAAAGGCTAAAAGAATTGTGAGGTGAGAATCACTTGACAAAAGCTTGAAAATCAAGAGCACCTCGATACGTAAAAGATTTTACATTCACTCATAATTCAAAAAGGGTTGCATTCACACATAATTCAAAAAGGGTTGCATCCAAAAAAAAATGTGATATTACAGGACCTGCTATAATGCAAAATGAGAATCAAGCAGACATATATGACTCTTCGAGTGGCTAGTTAATTTTGAGACATTATGATAATCAAACTAAATGAATATGTATTAGTCAGCAATCAATATATATATATATATATATATATAAAAATGAGGATCTTCAATCAGCCTATGTGGCATGCCTCAATGATGAGAAAAATATATATTTTTATTTTAATAAAAAAGGCTTTTTAGATTATTTCTTTTATACAATAATATTATGTGTGTATATATATATTGCTATTAATAAATTAGTTAATGAACATTACACCTCCTAACTCCTAACCTTTCATATTCATAACTTTCAAAATATTTAATATAAAAATTATAACTCCTAAATATTACACCTATAAAAACCCACTTTGAGATATTCCATGATGGTCATTTTATTTTTATTTTCCTTATTCTTCATTTTTTATACCTTTGATTTGTTAATTATTTTTTTTTTATCTTCTTTGATCTGATTTTTGCAGGAGAGGAATGTATAATGAAAAGTGTTATATATTTTGCATATTTTGATTTTGTGAGGTAAAATGATTTAATATGTCTAATTATCATTATCACTTTGTTCTGTTGTAATTACATACATACATACATACATACATACATACATATATATATATATATATATATATATATATATATATATATATATATATATATATATGATATTATTAGGTTGAGTTGTTGATGATACAAATCATGATTCTTTTATAGAAAAAATAATTTGTTAATTTTTTTTTTGCTTCTCTTTGTAGTTTTTTGAGATTTTTTTTCTTAATCTTGTAGTTTCTACCGACACTGATTGTCTTTATTCACTTTGTAAATTTGAAGAATCGTATATTTTAAATTTTTTTGCTTGATTAGTTAATTAATTTTATGTATGTTTGTTGGCATTATTGTATGGATTGTTTATAGTTCTCCGGTTAAACCACTGATGTAACAAGAGTTGATTGGTTCCTTATCAGATTAATTAGTTAATTGAAAAAATGTCAATATATCTTATTTCTGATTTCGTCTAACAATATCATCCTCCTCACTAGCTATAAAAATGTTATACAAATATATAATAAATATAAGTAATAAAAAAAGTAATATATCATATCTCAATATAAAGTAAATAAAATACTAAATATTAAATTCAAATATTATATAGCTAAGAATCAAATAAATCGATTCCTGATATAGTTTCGTATCTCACAATCACATAACAATGATATGGTAAAAATACATAATTTTAACGTTGCATTATTTTTTATATTATTCATATATAATTATTATTTATAGGCCAAATGTTTCACAATTTTGAGAATTTAATCAGCAAAAAATTAAATATTTTTAAATTTTATTTTAAAACATTCGTATAATTACTTTTTTTTTTGATAATTTCAATAAAAATTCTATTCCTTTTGACTAACCTTTTAATTCTGTGACCCTTTTTAAATTTATTTTTAATTAATTTTTCTCTTAATAGATATCTCTCCTATAATATAAAATAAGAGAAAAAGTATATATTGTTCAAAATAATAGTAATTACTAAAAATAATGTTTATTATTAGAAGCATATTTGGAGACTTTTAATAATTTGAAATTTTTAAAATGAGGTAAAAAGAAAATATGTCATATAATAAAATAAATCACAAAAATAGTGGAGGATTTTACTTAAACATATTTTTGTTTTTTAAATAAATATGTCACATTTTTTTTTACATTTTTCTCTTATTTTTATAAATTTATTTTTAATTTAATTTTTATCATAAACTCACACCTCTTCATCTTTCAAAACCTCTATACTTAATTAATACTTATTAGTAATACCTATAACTTCCAACTTTATACCTTCATAACCCCAAATTACTTAATGTTTAAATTTGTGACATCTTAAAATCACATCAAAAAATATTTCTAACCAAATATATTTATGTTTAGCTTAATTGTCCTCTACTTTAATCTTGTAATGCAAAATCTATCGACAAAGACTTCTTTGTATAATTATTTTTACTTCTAATAAGAATGATACAAAATAAGATATATAAAAGAGAATAATTGATTTGTTTTTTTGCATGAAATTATAAGAGCAAGATCATTACTAAAAGTAAGACAAAAACAATTATTGAAAACATTAAAATGTATTTGTAGATACGCTTAGCGGCGGAGATAATTAAAATTATTATGAAGTTATTTTTAAATTTTAAATAAAATATGAATCATGAAAAATATAACAAAAATTAATTAAGAGAATTCATTTAAACATTTTGCTTAAATTAATAAAAAGCTTAAGACAAGCTAACTTGATTATGTTAAGATTTGATGCTAATTGTGTCACGACCCAAATCCGGGCCGCGACTGGCACCCACACTTACCCTCCTATGTGAGCGAACCAACCAATCTAAACCTTAGCATTTCAATATAATATCAACATAAAGTAATGCGGAAGACTTAAACTCATTAATAAAATCAATAACTATTATTATCCCCAAAATCTGGAAGTCATCATCACAAGAACATCTACAATCAAATTACTAAACTAAGAGTATTCTAAACACTAAAAATACATAAGAAGCTAGTCCATGCTGGAAGTTCAAGGCATCAAGACTTGAAGAAGAAGATCCAGTCCAAGCTAGAATCATTAGCTCACCCTGAATTTCCGATGTAGTAAGACTGGCTTGAATTACTGTTGAGTTGAAGACGATGGCACGTTTGCTGCACTCCACAAATAAACAAGAAGAGAACATAAAAGTAGGGGTCAGTACAAAACACGGGTACTGAGTAGATATCATCGGCCAACTCAAAATAGAAATCAATATATATCAAGTAATATCATAAAATCAACTATGATACTCAACATGTAGCAACAACAAATACTATATCATTAACAATTACCGTCAAGTTCACACATGAGGACTCAAGCCTCGATACCATACTCATTTGGGAATCATGTTCATTAGATTGAGTATATTAACATCTTTCAAGATTCATTATCTTTATTTCTCTTGTGTCGGTACGTGACACTCTGCTC